ATATAAATATTATATATTGTGCAAAGGGTATTTTTGGTATTTGTGATATAAAAGCTATTCTCAAGGGAATGTGAATAGCTAATACCAAGGCCCCCCTAGGAATGGCTATTCTCCTTGCGAAGGTAATAGCTCATTCCTAGGCATGTTATTTCCATGACAAAATGATCCAACCAAACGATGAAATAGGTCTATTCCAAGGAATGTTATTCCATTCCTGACCTATTCCATGAACCAAACATGCCATGAGGGTTTTAATAAAGAAACACTGGTCAATGTTATAATTATTATAAACTTTCAAGTTTGTAATATTTATAAAACTAACAACAGTTATTTTTCAGCAATTCTTAATTGTCAATCTACCTAAATGGATGGATCATATTAATTTTTATTTTTTACATGGAATCAAAAAATGAAGTTGACAGGTCTCAAGTTCTCAAGAATTTTCTGCAAATGCATACATGAATAGCTAAGTTGATACTTAAATGGTAGATAAGGGTGAAGACTCAAGATCAAGCCCCGACAACGGCATAGAATTTTCTGATGGATCATATTAGTTTTTATTTTTTACATGGAATCAAAAAATTAAGTTGACGGGTCTCAAGCTCTCAAGGATTTTCTGCGAATGCTTACATGATATGAATAGCTAAGTTGATACTTAAATAATGGTAGATAAAGGTAAAGACTCAAGATCAAGTCCCGACAACTACAGTATAGGAGTTTCACCTATTATAATAGATTTTTTGTGAACAACACACACTATTCTTTTATTTAAGAGATTATTGAGTTACATTAATTTATCCTCCACTCACCTTTTTGAGGGTGATGAATTTTCTGCGAATTGAACATTTAACTCCTGTCAGTTTCAAATTGTCATATCGACACTTAAGTACTTAACGCGGTTTGAGTGTGTATTTCCACAATTGTTTTGGGAAAACTATCGTTGACTGAATGACTGACTATGAAGTCTTCCAGCCTCCCAACATATCAATCTTCAATCCATATTTTCCATTCTCATCTAAAAATGATGAGTGGTGAGAATATGATAATTTTAATCAACTCAAACCATTTTTTAAGATATTACTTATTTATTAGATAATTCAATAAATAATACTCCGTCTGCATCCTTCTTCGAGTGTGATGCGAACCTGGTTGGCCCGATCTTTTCTTTACATTCTAATTTAAAGAATATTTTAAAATGATTTATTAGGTTAGGTGAAATCGAACCAAAAGTTTAATTTAGGCTAGATAATGGGCGTTTTTGGGTCTTTTTATAGGTCCTCGGCCACACTAGGTTATAAGGTGATCGTAGTAGTAGGAGCGACGCCACAAGTGAGATTTCACACTTGATAAATCAGGATTGCCATGACCAATTCACAGCCGAACTCATCCCGAGTTTCACAAAACACTCTGTTAGAAACATTTTGTATTTAGATTTTGATAATACCAAATTATATCCCCTATAAACCCCAATTTGTTGTATTAGAACCCGAGTCACTTATGCTGTGAACTCAAAGAAGTTAGATTAGTAAAATGATCGAATCAATAGTAGTTAGCTTCTTTTTGCAACCAAGAATAGGACAAATCAAGACTTTTTGAAGACTAGAAGATCAAGAGAAGACCAAAAGGTCGCAAGTGATTTAATCATGGAAGGATTCACCTTTTGATGATTTCAAGAATTAAATGATCAAAGATAAATCATTTAGAGTCGGGGTGACTAAGTAAGGACAACTAGTCACGAGTTTACACGAATCATTCCTAAGGATTCGTGAAGACTGCTCATCCTCATATTGAACAGTCTACTGATTGAACACTTCCTACTCTCAAAAGAAAAAGGAGTCTTAGGAACAAATTCCCAAGTTATGCTATCCTTGAAAGCCTTATCCTCATGAAGTGACGTGAGACAAAACAACTGTCTGCACATCTCTTGGACCAAAGGTTATATTACTGACACTTCACATGTATTTGTTACCTCAAGGATATTACCCACTGGACTATAGGGTAATCTGAAGTCTGTTCTCACTTCTAACGGAACAAATTTCCTCTATAAATAGCATCTCTCATCAACCTAGGACACGGCAAAATACATACATCTGCATACAAAGTTGTCTTAATCAAGTTCTAGTGAGAGAAAGAGAAAAGTTCTACATTCTACCTCCATATCTGAAGAAAACTTGAGCAGCATCATCGTCTTCATCCAGCTTCAGCCAAGTTTTCCAGTTGGAAGAAAAGATATCTCAACTCATCTTTTCTCTATGTGAAGAGTAGATAGAGGCGGAGTAGACAAAGTGTAGTCAAAAAACCTGATACTCAAGATTGTGTCCAGCTTAGTGTCAAGGAACAATCTTGGAGTGACTTTGTACTAAGGGATAGTGCAAACCTTCACGAGTTGTGAAGTAAAGTGGAGTAGGCTTAGTTAACAACCGAACCACTATAAAATCTATCTCTCTCTCTCTCTCTTTCTTATTTCATTTACGTACTGCATTCATATCATCATATTCTGCTAACTGCTTGTGAAAAACTATTTTTAAACAAATTGTGCAAAGAACCCGAATCCTTTTCCGCTGTGCTTTTCTCTCTAACGATTCGTCTAAGCTTCCACTTAATGATTCAAGAGAAGTTTTCAAAAATCTATACGAATCTATTCACCCCCCTCTAGATTCGCATCTAAACCTTTCGGGACCAACACACTCCGTTAACTCAAAAATTCTCAACTCTCTATTTCATTTGACATGCAATGGCCTTAATTAGCCATTAACAAGCATATTACAACCACATGAATGATATAGTTATTAAGGGACACTGGGTACCGTCAAATTAGAATTCACGAGGGGATGAATGGAAAGTCTGCATTCAAGACCAAACAAGGTCTATAAGAATGACTAGTTATGCCATTTGGACTCACTAATGCACTTAGTAGTTTCATGCGTTTGATGAACCATGTGTTTAAAGATTTTATTGGCAAAAGTGCAGCAGTATATTTTGATGATATACTAATATACAGCAAAAGCTTTGAAAAGCATGTTCAACATTTGCATGATATTTTTTCTATTTTAAGAACTAATAAATTACACACAAATTTGAAAAATGTGAATTTTGCATCGCATCATTTCATTATCTTTGCTTTATTATTAGTGCCAATGAATTTATATCAGATATTGTCAAAGTCCGAGCTATTAGTGAATGGCCAATGCAAATAACAGTTAGTGAGGTGCGTAGCTTTCATGGCTTAGCAAGTTTCTATCGCCGATTTTTGAAAGATTTTAGCACCATTGCTGCACCACTAGCCGGGGTGATTAATAAAAATGTTGGTTTTCAATGGGGTGAAAAGCAAGAGCTAGATTTTTAAAAAAAAATAAAAGAAAAATTACGCTTTGCACCTGTTCTGGCCTTGCATAACTTTGAGGCAACTTTAATTTTGAATTGGATTGTGATGCTTCAGGAGTTAGAATTGGAGCTATCCTAATGCAAGGTGGCAAACCTATTGCATATTTCAGTGAAAAATTGAGCGGGGCTCCTCTTAATTACCCAACACATGACAAAGAGTTCTTTGCTCTTTTTTAGAGCTGGCTTTGGAACACTATGAACATTACTTAAGACCTAAAGATGATTTTGTAATCCATACTGACCATGAATCTTTGAATTATCTTAAAGGTCAAAGAAAACTCATCAGTAGGCGCCATGTTAAATGGGTTGAATACATTGAATCTTTTCCATATGTTATTCAATATAAGCATGGTAAAGAAAATGTAGTGGTTGATGCTTTGTCTCATAGCTATTCTCTGTTGACAACTATGCATGCTAGATTTTTTTGGATTTGAGCATTTAAAGGAGTTATATGCTACTGATTATGATTTTTAGGAATTATTATATGTTGAATTTCAAAAGGGGGCTCATGGGAAATTTTATGTGCATGATGGTTTTTTGTTTAAAGAAAATAGATTGTGTATGCCTTGTTTTATGCGAGAACTTATATTTAAGGAAGTCCATGTGGAAGGTTTGATGGGCCATTATGGCATTCATTAGGCATTGGATATTTTGCATGAACACTTCTTTTGGCTAAAAATGAGAAAAGATGTAAATAAAATGTGTGATAGATATATTATTTGTTAACGGACTAAGTCTACAAGTCAATCGCATGGGTTATATCATCCTTTGCTTGTGGCTGAACATCCTTGGGATGATTTATCGATGGACTTTGTTTTAGGGCTACCGGGAACCAAAAAATGTCATGATTCAATTTTTATGGTTGTTGATAGGTTTTCAAAGATGGCACATTTCATTCCTTGCTAGTAGCTAGTATTGCTACTTTATTTTTCAAAGAGATTGTTCATTTGCATCGGATGCCTAAAATCATTGTTTCTAACATGGATGTAAAATTTTGAGCTATTTTTGGAAAACTTTATAGGGTAAGCTCGGAACTAAGTTGTTGTTTTCTACTACATGTCACCCACAAACTGACGGACAAACTGAAGTTGTGAATAGAACTTTGCTTCGAGTTTTAATTAAAGAGAATTTGAAGAGTTGGGAGGAATTGCTGCCTATTACTAAATTTGCCTATAACAGGCACACACACAACACTACAGGTTTTTCGCCTTTGCAAGTGGTTTATGGGTTCAATCCATTAACTCCTCTTGATTTGATGCCATATCCGATGAAAGAGTACCGCAATTTAGATGGAACTAATAAAGCTGACATGGTAAAAAAAATGCATGAAAAAGTGAGCAAACAAATCACTAAGAAAAATGAGCAGGTAGCCAAGAATGTGATCGAACAAGGACATGAATAAGGTGATTTTCAATCCCGGAGAATTCATATGGGTCCATATGCAGAAAGAGCGGTTTCCTTCCCAAAGGAAATCTAAGTTGCTACCCCGTGGCGATGGACCATTTCGTGTGCTTACTAGGCTCAATAACAATGCTTACACATTAAAATTGTCAAGCGAGTATAGAATTAGTTTTACCTTTAATATAATGTTGCTGATTTATCTCCTTGTCATACAGGTGAAATTGATTTGTGGAAGAATCTTTCTAAGGGGGGAGGAGATTTTGAGGACAACTATGAGGATGACAAAAAAGAAAAAGATCCTTTGCAAGTCTTGGAGGATCCGATAACGAGAGCAAGAACGGAGATACTTCATGAAGCTGCGAGTGACCTTATTAAAGGAGTAAGTGAAACTAATCAAGAATATTAAGATGGAGTTAAGTTGAAGATGGTCAATCTAATTCAGGCACAATTTGAAGAATAAAGATCGAGTGGAGGTTCATACATTATAAATCGACACTTGGAGTATTTTTCTTGCAAATAAAAGTTTGAGACTATTTTAGACCATTCTTTTTTTTTTTTTGAAAGAGAAAGTTTAATTCATTAAATCGGAAGCAAGAATGTCAACAAGAAAAGCAGGTGGCTCATCCAACCACTCACTGCAACCTGACACAGAAAAGGCCTCCCTAGCAACAGCGTGGGCAGCACAATTCGCAGATCGCTTAACATGACAGAACTGCACATCCTCAATCTCAGATGTCAAGCTCTTTACATCATCAACTAAATAGCCAAAAACAGAAATAAAAGAATCCGAAGTTAAAGCATAAAAAACAATCTTACAATCAGTTTCCACATCTACAGCACCCAAACCAGTGCCCTTCAGCCAACTCAACGCCTCTCGTATAGAAAGCACCTCTGCCTCCCTAACAGTATACAACCCGGGTACTCTGACATTTTTAGCAGCAAGGAAATTACCACCATCATCCCGCAAGACCCATCCAAACCCCATTGCATTATCCACCTCCCTTAACGCAGCATCAGTATTGAGTTTGAGCCTCCCAAGCACAGGTTTTGCCCAAGAGGTCACGGCATGTGTGTGTTTGTGGCCAACACCAACCTGCAGCTTTTCATTAGCATCTCTCCAACAATCCAGAAAAGCCAAAGACCTACGCATCATAGTAGATAAGTCAAAAACATCACCCCTCCATACACTCTCGTTTCTAGCGCACCACACACCCCAACATGCCATCACAAACCTAGGCTTAGCAATCAAATCTAAAGTGCCCAGAGCCCAAAAGAACCAGTCACCAAGATGATTACCATCATAGCTGCACACATGTGGCATCCCCAACAAGTTCCAAAGGCGAACCGCCTCCCCGCACTGAACAAAAAGATGCATGGCCGACTCCTGTACCTGCCTGCACATATGACAATCCACCAGGCAAGCAACATTCTTAGATAACAAAATATCACGTGTGGGAAGATAGAGGGACGCTAACTGCCAACAAAAGCTCTTCACCTTAGGAGGGACCTGCAAGTTCCAAATACTTACCCATGGGTGGTGACTCGCATCCACTCTCGTAAGTTGCATGTAACATGATTTGACCGAGTACACACCCTTCTGCTCCCAATGCCAAAACCACTGATCATGAGGTCTCCGGTTACTGACAGGAATATTCAAAATTAAATTAGCATCGCGGGTATTGAAAATATCCTTCACACAATCCACATCCCAACCCTTACCATGCTTATCCATTAGAGAAGCCACCGGTGCCTCATAAACTGTGTGATGCAACTCCGTTTCCACAAACGGATTCCCATCCTCAGGAAGCCAAGGATCCCTACCAATTATAGTCCCTTTGCCATCGCCAATGACCCTTCTACAGCCCTCCTTCAAACAGCTTTTAACCTCCAGCATACCCCGCCATATATAGGATGGGTTACTACCCTCCCTGGCATCAAAATAGTCACAATCATGATAATACCTTGCTTTAAACACACGGGCCACTAGACTTGTGGGATTGGAAACTAATCTCCACGCCTGCTTTCCTAGTAATGCTTTATTCATCTCATGTAGACGGCGGAAGCCCATTCCACCACATGCCTTCGGCTTTGACAAGCCCTCCCATGATCGCCATCTGATCCCACGTTCACTACCCACACTGCCAATCCACCAGTATTGATTCAGAATTACCTCCACTTCCCGACACAGGCCTAAGGGGAGCAAAAACACCATCATAGCATAAGCTGGCATTGTCTGCAGAACATTCTTCAAAAGCACCTCTCTCCCAGCTCTAGACAAAAACTTGGCATTCCAAGAACGGACCCTGGTGAGTATTCGGTCCTTCAGGAAACCCAGTATAGCCTTCTTCCTCCTCCCCACTAGGGATGGCAAACCCAAGTATTTCCCACTCGTATCACCCTCCTCCACTCCCAGTATATCAACAACCTCATTTCTTCTATTCTGTGGGACATTAGCACTAAAACATGCAGCAGATTTATCATAATTTATATACTGTCCAGAAGCCCTGGCATAGGTATCAAGAATATACCTCATTTGAATGCTTTCGTCCTCATTAGCCCGTAAAAAGAGGAAGGAGTCATCTGCAAAAAGGAGATGAGAGATGGATGGTGCCCCTCTGGCAACTGAAACCCCATGCAATACGGGGATAGCGGGTCCCCCTGACGGAGGCCTCTTCCTGGTATAACTGGCCCCAAATGCCGCTGATCGTGCAAAATATGATACCGTACTGAGGTTACAGATTCTAGCAAAATATCCACCCAACCACCACCAAACCCCATCTTAAGCAACACTGCCCGTAGAAACTCCCACTCCACCGATCATAGGCCTTTGACATGTCAAGCTTCAACGCAACGACCCCCTCGCGTCCCTGGGACTTGCGTTTCAAAAAGTGGTGAACCAAATAGGCAAGCATGATATTGTCAGTTATTAAACGCCCCGGGACAAAGGCACTTTGAGCACATGAAATTAACTTATTCAACATGGGCTTTAGTCGATTTGCACATACCTTTGCCGCCACCTTATAGATGACGTTACACAAAGCAATCGGGCGTAAATCCTTCATTGATTCCAGCCTGGCCTTCTTCGGGATCAGAACAACAAGGGTATCATTAGCCCCACGTGGGAGCTTGGCCGTTTCCAAGAAACTTCTACAAAAAGCCGTTACCGCCCCCCCTACAATGTCCCAGAAATACTGGAAAAATCCCGGTCCAAAACCATCAGGACCCGGGGACTTATCCGGGTGCATCTGAAACACCGCAACACGAACCTCCTCCATACTCAACGGGCGCAGCAGCATAGCATTATCAACCTCAGTCACCTTCGCAGGAATTGCATCAATCACCTCCTGCATCTCTCCATAATCCGGGGTAAACAGTCCAGTATAATAATTCAACATGACATTATCCAACCCCTGTGAATCCTCCACCCAATTCCTACTCTCATCCTGGAGACGTCTAATAGTATTGCGTCGGCGTCTTGCTTTCACAGAATTGTGAAAAAACTTGCTATTGACATCCCTACCTTGATACCAAAACTCCTTAGCACGCTGTTTCCAGAAATAATGTTGTTGCTCCAACAAAAAAAACAACTCTCTCTCCACCGCCTCATATTCTCTCAACCCAGACTCATCACGACGCCCCCTCAACCATTCTAAACGTTGCTTATTGAACTCAATCTTACGTTGGAAATCTCTATTATAATTCCGCCCCCACCTCTTCAAATCAAGTGCACATGCCTCCACCCTTGCTAACGTATCCAGGCCCACCGTTCTGTCCCAACTCTGCGCAACAATTTCTCTACATGAATCTTCTCGCAACCACAAATTATCAAAACAGAACCTGGCACGCTTACGGACCTGTGGGAGAATAATCGGCGTAAGAATCAGGGGTAAATGATCACTATAGGGGACAACCAGAGACTGTGCCCGTGCGCCCTGAAACAAACTCAACCACTCCTCATTAGCTAAAATGCGGTCCAACTTCTCCTCGATCATACCGCTCGTGCCCCGTGACTTAACCCAAGTATACTGTGGCCCATCAAACGATAAATCCTGCAAATCACAGTCCGCAATAGCCTCCCTAAATCCATTTATACACCAAGGAGGATGTGGGGCCCGTCCAATCTTCTCAGACTGATCAAGGAGGTCATTAAAGTCCCCCATCACTAACCACGGTAGAGTTGACCGAGATGACAAGGTCCGCAATAACTGCCATGCCTCCCGCCTACGGTTCCTCTCTGGATACCCATAAAAACCAGTAAAACGCCATAAGGGAGCACCAACATCCAAACGTAGCTCACAATCAACATGATTAGCGGAGAAACCCGAAACTGTCAAGTCCACACCGTTCATCCATAACATCGCTAAACCCCCACTCCGCCCATCCGCCTCCACAGTAAAGACACTATCAAACCCCAATTGTACTCTAACATCTTCCATACGCTGCTTACCAACAAATGTCTCAATCAAAAACACCACACTCGGCCTCTTAGTGCGAACCAGGTCCGCTAACACACGAACTGCCGTCAGGTTGCCAAGCCCCCGGCAATTCCAAGAAATTAGACTCATAATTCTCGGCGGGCTTGCTCCGCAAAACCCGCCCCCAATCCGTTTTTTGACATTGTCACATCACAATCCATCTCCCCTCCACCCACACTCACCTCCACAACATCCTCCTCCACCCTCCTTCTTTTTTGTTCCCCCACAACAATTCTCGGCAAAACACCAACATCCCTTTCCACCGCATCCACCCTCTCACAACCCAAACCCATAATTCCCCCACTGCCCACCCCCTCAACACCCTCACTGCCATACCTCACAACACCCCCACCGCCCATCCCTTCGTCACCCTCACTGCCACGTCCCACACTACCCCCACTGCCCTTTCCCGTAACCCCCTCACTGCCCAAATCTCCCCCAACAACACCACTGTAAACAGTCTCACCCCCCATAGCAGGCGATTTCCAAGATTTCCGCTCAGCAGCAATTTCTGGTGGTATCCAACCCATATTCACCAACGGCGGTTCCCGGTGAGTTGCCTCCCGCAACCAAGCACCATAAGGTTTCTCAGCTTTTGGATCATGACGTTCCAACGCAAGCCTACAATGCCTGTCCCCATGCCCAATCAACCCGCACAAAAAACAAAAGGTAGGTAATCGTTCATATTATGAAATCAATAATAGCCCAACTCCCGACACCTCGTTTTAACTTCATCTGCTTCTTGAGTGCCTTGGTGATGTCCAGCAATACCCGAATACGGTAATACGTTCTCAAGGACCCATCAAAGTTCCTTTCATCAGCCTGTACCACCCTCCCCAAAAACGAGCCGATTGCATTAACGACCGACTCCGAACGGAACCCTACCGGCAAAGCATGTATTTTAGACCATTCTTATGCTATTTAATTTGTA